CCATTTCCATGTTACTGGTGAAAGACTTGGATGATGATAAGGCGGTTTCTAGTAGTTATTGAAGATGACCTTCAATTATGTGTCACTGTATGATGTGCTCACTTGGTACATTACGATAACCAATGCATTTTTTTAATTTTGTGTCGATAGTAAGTATTTTATTATTATTTATTTGTTTGTTTATTTTTTGGCCAAGATCTGCACACTTTGTTGAAGATGACCTTCAATTTTGCGTACTTTGGAAAGCGTGACCTTGTTTTTTTATTTAAATTTTATAATTATCACAATGACAATAACAAAATAATTAGCTTTCTTTTTCTTATTCGTTATTTTCATGATTAATGCAGTGAAGTAGCTGGCTTGACAATGATGCACCATATCTTGTTCCTTTCAGATACCGATTACATTGCTAAATGCTCGGATGTCTTTAAAATCATTCAGATGTTGGTCAGGATGGGTGGCACGGCCACTTATTGCATTAATGCTGTCAAAATTATGTTTGATTCTCCCATTGGTATAAGCTCTCTACGGTTTAATGTTTGAACGCATATTGTAATTTGGAAAACATGTCTCATTATTTCTTCTTTATTTGTTTTACAGAGCACAATTCAGGCTATCCATTTTCAGTTGCTACAAGCGCCACCTTCTGTCATAAATTTTGCAGGAGATTTGAAGTATGGTAAGCCATACTAATTCTGGCACCTGAAGCTTTATAACAAAATGTAGTGCATATTTATGGGTTTTGTGCAGTCATAATTCACCTTATGTCATTTTGGTAACAGAGATATTTTATATTATTCATTTTGACAGCTTTCAAGAACAGAAAATCAACTGAAATTGGAATGGTTACTGTTATCTCTTAGCATTATTTATTTATATTACAGTTATGTGAAATAAACAAAGCCTCCAACCTTGTCAGGGGTAAATTTGGAACCCTTGTGAAAATATTGATACGAAGGAAAAGTCATGATTTAACTGTTCATAGGTCACACCTTGATGTACTGGTTTATTTAAAATGCATGTCTGGACTCTGGCCTTGTTTGAGCCTCGGATTTAATAATATTTTAGTGTTCCTATCAGTCTGCTCTCTAACTAAATTTATTCCTTCTTTCTACTTACACCATTTGTTCATTTACTTTCTAGCCATAGGAGATTTTGCCACGGCAGAAGAAGCTAGAAAGGTCAAAAATCTTAAGCTGCAGTTTGCAAACAGGCCAATTTGGATGGCAGCATCAATACACAAGGGTGAAGAAGAAGGTCAGTAATTTATTCTTTGTTTTATCATAGTGATGCATGACCCCTCCATGTGATTATGTCATTTTTATATGGCTAAAGTTTGTTAGATTTATCCTAGATTGTAGTTATTATCTTATAACTGTAACTAAATTGAACTACTTTTGTTGGTAATGTTATAATCATGGAGGTATGATCACTCTTCATATTGTGATGTTTTATGTTATTCATGTATGGTGATGCTTGACATACTGTCTTCTATGTAGCACAAATGCTTCTATTGTGAAGCCTTTACCATGTTGGGCACGTGTCGAACACAATTGTTGCTGAAATTATTATGTATTTTCAGAACTTATTGCATGTCCATTGTCGTGATAATATCATGGTATCATGTTCATGTGTAGACCGCGTTTCTCTCGAGGGTGATGCTTATTTCTTACCTCTACTTAATCCTGTTAATGGGCTTGTTGTGCTATAAGATCGATACTACCATTATTACTTCTTCTGTCGTTTAGTCAGCCCCTTTTCAGAAATTATTTTATAAATTATGTTTTTACTTGCATATTTATGGGTTTTGTGCAGTCATAATAGTTTTTATTTGGTTCCAAAATTGTTATATATTATTTGTTTAACCTTCTTGTTTTGTTGGTCGGATTTTAGAAACCTTACCAGAAAAACAAGACCGTAGTGCAGCTAAAATTTTATGATGTTAAAGTGCCTCCTATTTGAATTCGCAGTTATGCTTTGGGCGCACGAGAAACTAGTAAAGATGTACCCTGAATTGGTCACAGTTCTCATCCCACGGCATCCTCAGCATGGACAGCAGATAATTCAAGTAGGCATCTGATAATATTTGTTTATTTTGTACTATTTCTCCTCTGTAGTGAATGATCTTTTTCCTCCATAAATTCCTTTGTTCTTGCTTATTTTTCTTATATCAGCTGATAATTGAAGTAGATTAAACATAATTATATTGTTTAAGCAGTCATTAAAGAGGCAAGGGATGAATGTTGCAGTGCGGTCTAGAGCTGATATAGTTTCTCCTAGCACAAGTCTCTATGTGGTGGACACTCTAGGTATGTTTCATCTTAGTTGGAGCATCTGGTCCCTATGTTATTGAATTTGAATCGACCCCCTAGTTATTCTTGCATTTTATACATCAGTTTATTTTCTATCATGCGTTGGGCGACAAGATATTTGCTCGAAATGGACTTCCCGAGTTTCTACTGACTGCTTGTAATAGCCAGAAAAATATAAATAAATAAATAAACAAATAAACAAATAAATAAAATAATTATAATATATTGTGGCGGAGATTTTCTCCACCGTTTTACCAAGTCGGTAAAATTTCACCTATCGTCTGATTTAAATCCCTATCTCCGTTAGGAGGAGTTTGCTCATTACCTGAAGCCATATCTTCCTATAAATAATAAAATATTTGGGTCAACTATTATACAAGAAATAATTTCTAAGTCAGTTCCATATCTTCCTATAAATAATAAAATATTTGGGTCAACTATTATACAAGAAATAATTTCTAAGTCAGTTACATATATGCAAATTAAGTAATTATGAACTCAATCATTACTCAACATAATATCACAAATCGGTATTTACAAACCAAAAGTATATTATTAATATTTAACTTTTTAGTTCATACACATATCTGAGGATATGGGTTTACATATATATACATATTTTCTACCAAAATGTCCTACATATACCAAAAGAGTGACTACGAAAACCCATATACTGACATTACAAAATTGTCCTAACAGTTATACTCTATTTCCTCGAAGAAGAGGAGCTGCTGGAGCTAGACTCCTCGGTCGGCTCAGTCTCTTCTGTGTCTTGGCTATGATCGGAGTCTGACATGGGGTTAGGATCAATGCCAGAAGTCCCCCATCCTTCCAGATCGAGGTCTGGATCAATCCTCAGGGTATTCGACTCACCCTCAGAAGGGGCAAGTCATTGGTCGTCACTAGGAACCTGGGCTACAAGGGACTCCATATCAGAGGGGTCGGATAAAATTATAATGATTTCTGAAGGTGATGAATCAACTGGAATAACTTCTACTGCTATATCCTCATCCTCAGCATGATCAACCACAGATTCTGATGAATCTATCATAATAACTTCTACGGGCTCGACCTCCGATGAGTGTGGGGTCATATGGTTAACTACTATCAAGCTTGGGTCAGTTTCATCAGAAGTATATCCCAAGTCTCTTAAGCTGGGTTCCCAAGAACTATCTACAGAAATCATAGAGCTGGACAGGGTAGATGATGAACTGGAAGATGAATTGGTTCCCGCCATTCTACAAAACGGGGAACCATCCATCAGCTCACTGAAGAAAAAGGACAGTGAAATAAAATAAACATCTAAGCACTCCTTAACAAACCTAAAAGGCTTTACTATAAAATATTTATATGCATACATGTATATACACTCCTTAACAAACCTAAAAGGCTTTACTATAAAATATTTATATGCATACATGTATATACATATGTATACATGCATATATATCACATAGTTGATCCATACGATAACACTCATCTAGCGCATATACACTATGCTAACGTGCCCTATAAGGCTTCTACCGTCAAAACCTAGGCTCTGATACCATCTTACTGTCACACCCCGAAATTGCAACGAAAATTTATAAATGCAGGGTGCGCGACAGCAGCGACCCGTGCACGAGACAAGTCTTATGCACGTGTCAAGCCTGACACTTCATATCACATAGTTTATCTCAAAATGTTCATAAACATGTTGATGATATAAGTCAGAGCAACTATATATGTATGTAATCGGTACTTACAGCCCACAAGCTCACCGTTATAAACATTTTTACAAAACAAAACAAATTGTGCTGAAGGTAACATCAAAAAGAAGAGGCTCTCCATATAACGCCTCAGCCAAAGCTCAGACCAAAAGTTCGGCTAGTATGAAGCTACGTCGGATCTGAAAAAAAATTAAAAACAACGGGGTGACCTAGCGCTCAGTGAGAACATTTCCCACTAGAGTTTCTAGATAACTAACAAATAGTAATAAACATAATTCTCAGAAATAACGAATTATAAGTTTTGCATGAGAAATTCAAAGATAGCAAAATACGATCCAAATATCATAATATTGTCGTCTTCAAGAAGAATACAATAATTATATTTTCTTTCTTATGTACAACTGAATATACTGTGAAGTTTCTTGGAATCAAACCCTTTTTGAATCAAGGTAAACATTAAGAAGGAAAAGAACCACTAATTTGTACAAAACCCGAGAATTTTTGTTTTCTTAATTTCACAATCAAATATTCTGAATCTTAATTCTCGATGAGTTATTCATTAATGTAAAAATCACCTCATAGGTCACACTAAGGCTACGAATTATAGCCCAGTAACAAGGGAATGCATAAAACGCATCACATGACAGATAATTTTCGGGAATCGAATGTACCTAACACTGTCATAGGTTACTGGTCAAATACAGAGGGGCCAGAATAAATTTCAGAAGGGTCAATACAGAATGGCTAATACAGAGAGGCCAAATAAAGGTGCATTCACCATATGGCAGGTATAAACAATCCATAGTGAACTATTTGAGGGTTTGAAAACATCGAGATCATATGTCCAATGAGTAATACTTTGCATCTCAAAATTTACAGATATTTTCAAGTGAAGTTGACAAGGTAAAACTTCTTATCCCAGTTAAGACAGTTTACGAATTTTTTTTAATCAGATACCAAGTCACAGAAAATCTTTAAATCCGTTAAACCGTTGAAATATGTTTAAAATACTTCATCAAAACTTTTAGATAAAGCAATGCCTACAATTAGTTGAAACTGCATGAGAGCCAATTCGCTTTTCATAGTTCGTATAAAATCAAATTGATTTTTCATATCTTGTACGAAACAATATCATATTTATGGTTTACGCCACAACAAAGGTAGATCAAATCTTTATATACATGAAAATGATATATTATTTTTTGATTACAAGATAAATCAAATATAATATTCATGCAATTTCATATTATAAAATACTAATGAGAAATGAACTCACCTTAAGTGGACACGACTTTCCCAAAATATTATCTTCTTAAATATCAACCAGATCCTATAATATAAGATATAGAACTAATTATTAATTCAGGACAAACATATATTATAGGTAAATCAATTCATAATCTAGAGCCTAACAATCTCAAATATAATCCCTAACAGTTTAAAATTAGGGTAGATATGGATTTATTTCTAACTTAGTAGGGGATTATGAGTAATTAATACAGCCCAAAAGTGATATCTTTATCTGCAAATTGGACTTATTTATAAACAAAGCAAATAACAAGGGTCCCAAAATAATTTTGTCCCATTTCCTCTCTCCTTCATCTCTTCTTCTTCCCGTTACTTTTCTCCTCATCATTCATTTTTTTCTGTTTCTTTCTTCTTCTCCTCTCTCTCTCCCCCCTCTCTCCTTCTTTCTTTTCCTCCTCTACGGCGCCAAGTTGGCGCGGCTGCTCAAGTTCCGCCGCCGGAGCGGCCACCCGAGGGCGAGCCCTCCTCAACGCCGACGGTCAGGTAAGTTTTCTTTTTTTTTCATTTTTTTCGGTTGGGCATCAGAGCATTATCTCTTTCTCTCTCTCATCATGAGGGTAGGATCGCCGGCGATGAAGAGCTGCCAACAACAAGAACCGTCGGATCTAGGGTTAGTACTCTCTCTCTTTCCATAAAATCTTAATAGGTATTTCAAAAATCGAACTTGTTCGTTATAATCACTATCCTATTAGAAACTAATTAGATAAAAGAGAATAGAAAATAAATTACCTTAGATTCTCTTTTTTTCACTTTCACCTTCATCTTCTTCTTCTTCTTCTTCCTTTTTTTACACGAATTTCTCACATTTTCCTCCCTTAAATATTATTGGGAGGCGGTGAAATTTTACCGACTTGGTAAAGCGGTGGAGAAAATCTCTGTCGCAAGATATTATAATTATTTTGTTTATTTGTTTATTTGTTTATTTATTTATTTATTTATATTTTTCTGACTATTATACTTCATGCTGCTGGTTTGCTTTAACTTCATCTAGCAAAGAAGGTTGTGGAAGAAGGCACTCGAGGAGAATTTAAGATACATAAAGATGGATCATTGAGGTTTGGAACTAGAGTTTGTGTGCCTAACATACCAGAAATAAAGAAAAAGATTCTAAAAGAGGCATATCACTCTCTATATACTATGCATCCTGGATCAACAAAAATGTATAAAGACCTGAAGGAAATATATTGGTGGAATAATATGAAGAAGGAAATTGCCACCTATATTGCAGAATGTTTCACTTGCCAACAAGTAAAGGTGAGCACCAAAGACCAGCTGGATTAGTTCATAACTTAGACATACTAATGTGGAAATGAGAAAAGATCACCATGGATTTTGTCACTAGCCTTCCGAAATCTTTAAGAAAGGATGATGCAATATGGGTAATTGTGGACTGGTTGACAAAGTCGGCATACTTTTTACCTATCAATATGAAATTCTCATTAGAAAAGCTGACTAAAATATATATTAATGACATAGTGAGTATGCATGGTGTACCAATATCAATAGTTTCTGATCGAGATCCTCGGTTCACATCAGAATAATGGAAAAGTGTGCATAGAGCTCTGCAGACTAAACTAAATTTCAGCTCAGCTTACCATCCACAGGCAGATGGTCAATCAGAACGAACAATTCAAACATTGAAAGATATGTTGAGATGTTGTATACAATAACAGTTACCAAGCTAGCATTCATATGGCACCGTATGAACTTCTTTATGGAAGGAAGTGCAGGTCTCCTATTCATTGGGATGATGTTGGCGAAAGGAAACTTCTTGGACCAGAATTGGTACAACAAGCAATTGATAAAATTCAATTAGTTTGAGAACGTATTCGCACAGCACAAAGTCGTTAGAAGAGTTATGCTGACCAAAGATGAAGAGAATTGGAGTTCCAGGTGGGCAATCATGTTTTCTTGAAGGTTTTGCCTACCCGAGGAGTGAAAAGATTCAGAATTCAAGGGAAGTTAAGCCCGAGATTTATCGGTCCTTTTGAAATTCTGGAACGTATTGGTCCAGTGGCGTACAGATTAGCATTACCACCAGCCTTGTCTGGAGTACACGATGTATTTCACATATCGATGCTTCGAAAGTTCATCCGAGATCCAAATGAGATCATTGAGTTGTCTCTAGTGGAGCTCAAGCTATATTTGACCTATGAGGAAAGATCAGAACGTATTGTGAATTTTAAAGAACAAGTACTTAGACACCGAATAATCAAATATGTGAAAGTTCAGTGGAAGAATCACTCTGAAAGAGAAGCTACTTGGGAGACTGAGGATTCTATGTGAGAGAGATATCCAGAACTCTTTCGAAATATAGGTATGTTAAGTTTCAAGGGCGAAATTTTTTATTAGGTGGGGAGAGTGTAATAGCCAGAAAAATATAAATAAATAAATAAATAAATAAAATAATTATAATATCTTGTGGCGGAGATTTTCTCCAACGCTTTACCAAGTCGGTAAAATTTCACCGCCTCCCAACGGTATTTAAGGGAGGAAAATGTGAGAAATTCGTGTAAAAAAAAAGGAAGAAGAAGAAGAAGAGGAAGGTGACAGCGAAAAAAAAGGAGGAATCTAAGAAAATTTATTTTCTATTCTCTTTTATCTAATTAGTTTCTAATAGGATAGTGATTATGATGAACAAGTTCGATTTTTGAAATACCTATTAAGATTTTATGGAAAGATAGAGTACTAACACTAGATCCAGCGGTTCTTGTCGTCGACGGCTCTTCATCGCCGGCGATCCTACCCCCACGGTGAGAGAGAGAAAGAGATAGATACTCTGATGCCCAACCGTAAAAAAAACGAAAAAAAGAAAACTTACCTGACCGCCGGCGTTGAGCATCCGCGCCAACTTGGCGCCGCAGAGGAGGAAAAGAGAGGAGAGGGGGGGGGGGGGGGAAAGAAAGAAGGGGGGGGGGGGAGAGAGAGGAGAAGAAGAAGAAAGAAACAGAAAAAAATGAATGATGAGGAGAAAAGTAACGGGAAGAAGAAGAGATAAAGGAGAGAGGAATTAGGAAAAATTTTAGTTATATAGCAAAATTATTTTGGGACCCTTGTTATTTGCTTTGTTTACAAATAAGTCCAATTTGCAGATAAAGATATCACTTTTGGGCTGGATTAATTACTCATAATCCCCTACCTCATCATAAATTAGAAATAAATCCATATCTACCCTATTTAGGGATTTTAAACTGTTAGGGATTATATTTGAAATTATTAGGCTCTAGATTATGAATTGATTTACCCATAATATATGTTTGTCCTGAATTAATAATTAGTTTTATATCTTATATTATAGGATCTGGTTGATATTCAGGAGGATAATATTTTGGGAAAGTCGTGTCCACTTAAGGTGAGTTCATTTCTCATTAGTATTTTATAATATGAAATTACATTAATATTATATTTGATTTATCTTGTAATCGAAAAATAATATATCATTTTCATGTATATAAAGATTTGATCTACCTTTGTTGTGGCGTAAACCATAAATATGATATTGTTTCGTACAAGATATGAAAAATCAATTTGATTTTATATGAACTATGAAAAGCGAATTGGCTCTCATGCTGTTTCAACTAATTGTAGGCATTGCTTTATCTAAAAGTTTTGATGAAGTATTTTAAACATATTTCAACGGTTTAACGGATTTATAGATTTTTTGTGACTTGGTATCTGATTAAAAAAATTCGTAAACTGTCTTAACTGGGATAAGAAGTTTTACCTTGTCAACTTTATTTGAAAATATCTGTAAATTCTGAGATGCAAAGTATTACTCATTGGACATGTGATCTCGATGTTTTCAAACCCTCAAATAGTTCACTATGGATTGTTTCTGCCTGTCATATGGTGAATGCACCTTTATTTGGCCCCTCTGTGTTAGCCCTTCTGTATTGGCCCTTCTGAAATTTATTCTGGCTCCTCTGTATTTGGCCAGTAACCTATGACAGTGTTAGGTGTATTTGATTCTCGGTAATTATCTGTCATGTGATGCGTTTTACGCATTCCCTTGTTAGTGGGCTATAATTCGTAGCATTAGTGTGACATATGAGGTGATTTTTACATTCATGAATAACTTATCGAGAATTAAGATTCTGAATATTTGATTGTGAAATTGAGAAAACAAAAATTCTCGGGTTTTGTTCAAATTAGTGGTTCTTTCCCTTCTTAATGTTTACCTTGATTCAAAAAGAATTTGATTCCAAGAAACTTCACAGTATATTCAGTTACACATAAGAAAGAAAATATAATTGTTGCATTCTTCTTGAAGACGATAATATTATGATATTTGGATCGTATTTTGCTATTTTTGAATTTCTCATGTAAAACTTATAATTCGTTTTTTCTGAGAATTATGTTTATTACTATTTTGTTAGTTATCTAGGAATTCTAGTGGGAAATGTTCTCATTGAGCGCTAGCTCACCCTGTTGTTTTTAAATTTTTTTAAGATCCGGCGTAGTTTCATACTAGCCGAACTTTTGGCTGAGAGGCGTTATATGGAGAGCCTCTTCTTTTTTGATGTTACCTTCAGCAATTTGTTTTGTTTTGTAAAAATGTTTATAACGGTGAGCTTGTGGGCTGTAAGTACCGATTACATACATATATAGTTGCTCTGACTTATATCATCAACATGTTTATGAACATTTTGAGATAAACTATGTGATATGAAGTGTCAGGCTTGAAGAGGAATGTTATCAGTAGGAATTGACCTGGTATAAGAATTAGAAAATCTCGTTGGTTATTGAAACAGTTATTTGCATGACCGGCAATGGTTGATGAAAACGTAGGCTTAAGTTCAATAAGTGGCAAATTTAAGCTTAGTTTACAGTTAAAATCAAGTTGTTTCCCTTGTATTATATATTAAATCATTTCATTAATGAGCTTTCTGAGAGATGGATATCTTCAAGTATTCATAAAATTATTTGTTTCATGCATCATACAGGTGAACTAAGAATGCTTTATAAAGTTACTCCTATAGCTGTTGTCGGAGGTTCTTTTCTGCCTAATTTGGCTGGGCATAACATTTCTGAGGCTGCTGCAGCTGGTTGTGCTGTTTTAACGGGTAGCATTTGTTTCTTAAACTCTGATCTTTCCTTTTAATCCATTAATTTTTTACCCCTCTTCTTTTGTTTTTCCATGATATTCGTCCTGACGTTATTTTGAACCTCTTGTGCTACATGGTATAACTCAGCATGCTTGATGTTTCTTTTATCTGTTTGTAATTTTTTCTCATGGGAGTGATGCTTAATTGTTTAAACCAACTTCAGGTCCCCATGTTGGGCATTTCTCTAAGATGATAGCGGAAATGAAGCAAGTAGATTATTCATCAGTTCTTCAGGTGAGAACTGGTATCTCCTCTTTGAGGTTTTGTGTCTAAACTAAAATAGTTTTAGCATTCTCTGCTCTCCTCTTGCCTAAAAAAATCAATTTCTAGACAGCATGAACTTACATGAGATAAAAACTTAATCATCATCAAAGTATTTTCATCAAAATCTGGTTGTTTATGGATGATTTGAAGTCATTAAATGTTCAAAAATGAAACTGACCAAAATTCCAAAATGTAGTTGCCAAATTGAGTGGCCCTCTAGTATATAGCCCAGACATCACAGTTGTATACATTGCATTCATTCCCACAACAAATGCCTAAAGAACTAAACAAAAATACACGTGCACATTACGAGAATCGAGCTTGCTCATCTCATGTTATATTAAAGGTTGCTGGGAGGATGGAGCTCTTGGAAACCCTAGACTGGCTACTCGGTAAACCCGAGGCACGAGAAGCATGTCAACAAGCGGCAAAAAAAGCATTCTCAACTATTTCAAGTGGTGTTGTACAGAGAGTTTGGGAGTCCATTGATGTTCATGTTCTCAGCAAACGTTAAAGGACAACCAGGATTATTATTTTTAAAATTTTATTTTTGAGCTATTAATGGAAGGAGACTCGTGTATGTGGATCTGATTAGTAATCATCTTCATACATTCGATGTCTCATGCAACATATAGTTGTGAATAGAATTCATGTAGCCGACTCCTAGGTGGAGGTTTTGTTGTCACTATTGTTGTGCACACGAGCAAAACCAAATTTTGTTTTCATCTGATCCGAGTGTTAAGAACGAGGTAAAGGTTTGTAGGATCTCGCAGGAAAATCATTAACATGCTCGGGGCTTGCTTATGCCTGGTTATAAAATGCTCATTACTAGAGAAGCAAAAAAAAATTCTGACGTTTTTAATGCAATTTACTTATTGTGTTTTCTGGCATTATAGATATTATTGTATTAATTCCTTTAAGGCATGGACAAATAATGGTTGAATAAATATCTGGAATATCTGCGCACGACAAATATGTCTATTCGAGTTGTTTGGCTTTACCCTAATTAATTAATATCAGGCAATACCTCTGTATCTAGCAAAATCTGAGTTCATCTTGATACAAGATGAGTAGAGACTCAATAATCGAATAATATCCATATCCGCATTTGCAGTCCGAAGGGCTTATTTGGATTGGGGGTAATGTGAGGGGTTACATTACTCTTGTTTGGGAAATCTTTTGAGATACTTAATGAGGGGACAGTTGAGATAATAGAGAGGGGGAAAAAACTTTAGATTTTGTTCTCTCCAAATTGTAGTGCAATGGAGAGGGAGGTAGGTAAATCCGTAAATGTAACTCTTAAAAAAAGAGAATATTACATAAAGACACTTTTAGCCCCTATATCATGATGAGATTCAAAGGGGTGAAATAACATCTAAGATATTTACATAAATTTACATATATTTCATTACCTTCCTTTCACTTTATTAGACTTTCCAAAGGGGGTGAAATTCAAATAAGTCCCCATTGAATTATATTACTAATTTCTCAAATAAGTTCTCCATGTTCTCTTACCTTCCCTTTACTTAACTTATCATATATTTCCTTAATTTTTCTTCGCTATGCGCAAATCCAAACAAGCCCTAATAGAAGAAAAAAAAAACGAAAAAAAGTTTTGGTAAAAATAAATAAATGAATATGTCTACAGTCAAAGAGCTTAGGAGTAAAATCATGAATAACGCATTATTGAGCTTAGGACAAGGAGGAGCATTGATCTACGTACCATGAAGACAGATAAAAGGATTCAGTATTTGTTAGTTGCGAATTCTAAGTTTGAAAATCATTGCGTTGTCCTATATATTATAACAAGGAAGGATGTAAAAAAAAAAAATTGGGTGTGTGGGACCTCCATCTGATTACAGCTACAATAGCGATCGAGGACACAAATTTCATACACGGCTAATATTGTGTTTGAGGAAATACACAATTTAGTACGATAATACCTAGACATGAATACTTTTGCATTTTCAGAAAAAGAACGTTAGGGCATGTTTGGCAACTCGAAAATGAATCAAAAAATTGTCAGTTACTTTTTTTCCTTTTTATTTTTTATTTTTACAAATGACTTTCACGTCTGCGTCATCATGCTAGTGAAATATAGTTTGTTTGAAAAACAAAATTATTGTTAAAAGTACAATGTGAAGGTAATGTGATAAAATAGGAATAATTAGTAAATGTAGTTAAAATTATTTAATTAAAATTAATTACCGTTTTTATCACTTTCATATGACTTCACCAATTTTTTAAGGGAAGCTAAAATTACTTTAGATCATATGTGACTACTTCCTTGTATTTTCCTTTCATCTTTCACTTACGTGTAAACAAAATACCCCCTTAATGAAAAAAAAAAATCAACTGCATACTACCATTCAAGCACATTCTCATGATGAACCCATTGGATATGGGATCAACATCACACCAGGTATACAAGCACTACCGGGCCAAATCGCACAACAGGTTATTAAAAGAGGTTGTCAGTCATTAAATGATTTAACTCCAAACATAATTTTTAACAAATCGCCAAAATGAAGAGTAGATGGCAAATACAGTTCAATCTTTCAAGCTCTTAAAAGAAGTCAGACGAAACAAATTACAAAAAGCATGACACAACTTCTTCATCCCAAATTCTGGGAGCATTAATTTTGCAACAAGGAATAATTATCCGGTGAGTCCATCAGGAAGATCACTCATTCCATATCTCCTCATTAGTTCAACTATTGCTTCAGCCAGAGAGGCGCTTAGTCAATTTCAATTACAGCGGATACTGCATCCAAGTGTGTAGCCAAGTGCTTCTTCACCCCGCAACTGTGCAAGGTACTCTCCTGACGGGGAACGCCGGTCGAGAAACTTCGAATCCACGAAGAGGATTTTGAACACAAGAAAACAATGTAATATATTGATTGAATTCTGAATAACTTCATGTCTTACAATTAAACAAATCAACCTATTTATACTATTCTACCTAAAAAAGGAAATATAAAACAGATTCCTAACTCTAGTTGGTTTGCATAAACCGATTCCTAACTTTCCAAAACCATATTTCTAATTTTGTTCTGCATCAGTTCCCTCCTTCTTCGAAAGAACTCGACCCCGAGTTCATTACTGGAATTGAGATGTCATCTTCGGAATAAAATGGGAATATGTCCTTGACGTTGAAAGTCCTTGATATGGCAAACTCTGGAGGCAAATCAATTACATATGCATTGGCATTGATCCTTTGGAGAACTTTAAATGGGCCATACTTCTTCATCTTTGTCTTGTTATAAGTGCCTGCCGGAAATCTTTCTTTACGCAAGTGAACCATAACAAGATCGTCAACTTCATACGTCTTGACTCGCCTGTGTTTATCTGCATCTTCCTTATATTTGGAGTTGGACACTTCCAAATTTTTCTTCACCTCAGCATGTATTAGAAACACTTTCAATCATGGCATTAGCTGATTCATTTAAGCCTGAGATCTTTGGAAGCACAAAAAGATCAAGAACATGATTAGGTACTTTCGAATATACAATCTGGAATGGTGACTTCCCTGTAGAACGATTCACAGTGGTGTTGAAAGCAAATTCGGCCTGAGGTAGCATAAGATCCCACTGTTTGGGTTTCTCTCTGGATAAGCAACGTATTAAATTTCCCAAAGAACGGTTAACAACTTCCGTTTGTCCATCAGTCTGAGGGTGACAAGTGCTACTGAATTTTAATGAAGTTCCAAGGCGCATCTATAGAGTCTTCCAAAAATAACTCAAGAATTTTGTATCTCTATCTGAAGTAATAGACTTAGGAACCCCCATGAAGACGCACAATCTCTTTGAAGAACAAAGTAGCAATGTTGGTGGCATCTGATGTTTTTTTGCAAGGAACAAAATGTGACATCTTTGAATAACGATCAACAACAACCATAACTGAATCAACACCACGTTGGGTTCTTGGGAGACCCAATATAAAATCCATAGATACATCAACCCAAGGAGCATCTGGTATCGGCAAAGGTGTATAGAGACCTGTATTTTGAGATTGACCCTTGGCTTGTTGACATGTAAAGCATCGTTTAACTAGCTTCTCAACATCACGTTTCAAAGAGGGCCAATAATATCTTTCTTCCACCAAAGAAATAGTCTTATCACGACCAACATGACCACCAAGTCCACCTCCATGTAGTTCACGTATAACGTGCTCTCTTAAAGATCCTCGAGGAATGCACAAACGATTTCCTTTGAAAAGAAAACCATCATGTATGAGAAAATCATTGGTCCCTGTCTGTTGTAAAGAGCACTTAGACCACAAGTCTAAAAAATCTGTATCATCCACGTATAAATCTTTCAAGTAATCAAATGCAGAAATATCACTGTGAACTGTAACAAGCAAAGCATCACGTCGGCTTAAGGCATCTGCAACTTCGTTGAGTTTTCCAGATTTGTGTTTGATGGAGAAAGTGTATGTAGGCGTCTAAAACTGTCTATGAGAGCCCGCACGAAACTCGAAGCAATGAATGGGCGAGTCAAGAAGATTCGTCAAACCAACTCGTGCGCGTCGGTCAAACGTGTGCACGTCAATCAACTCGTGCGCGCCAGTCAACACGCGCACGTCAATCAGCTCGTGTGCGCCGGTCAACGCGCGCACGTCAACCAACGCGTGCGCGCCGGTCAGCGCGCGCACGTCAATCAACTCGTGCGCGCCGATCAACGCGCGCACGTCAACCAACGCGTGCGCGTCAGTCAAACACGTGCACGTCAAACCAACTCGTGCGCATCGGTCAGCGCGCGTACGTCAAATCATCTCGTGCGCATCGGTCAACGCGCGTACGTCAAACCAACTCGTGCGTGCCGGTCAACGCACGCACGTCAATCAGCCCGCGCGCATCGATCAGTACGCGTATATTAACCAAACCAATCCGACCCGCGCAAGCGCGGGTCGGATTATTCCGACCCGCACAAGCGCGGGTTGGATGATTCCGACCCGCACAAGTGCGGGTCGGATCATTCCGACCCGCGCAAGCGCGGGTCGGATTATTCCGACCCGCGCGAGCGTGGGTCAGATCGTCCTGCTGCGCAGTCTAAAGTCTCAAAACACGTTTTGACAGTTTTAAATTGGTTTTTTGCAGGGTTTATCGGTTCCAGGGGTTCTTAACTGACTTGAGATCATCCCTAAACGTTGTTAGGCTGTTGTTGACTGAAGATAGAGCCAAATCCCTTATTCTTATCTAAATAACCGCATTTTGAGGCCTATAAATATGAACCAAAGGCCTCCATTTTCTAGATCTGGAATTTTATCAAGAGGACGAAGTGCTGCTGGATTGGAGAGTGAAGGAGCACGAAATTTCAGCAAAGGACAGTGAGATCCCGGCGAACTTCGGAGCAAAGGAGAAGCCATTCGAAGGATCTGAAGCCCGTACGTCCGTTCCTTGAGATTAGGCTTTGTCTTAATCTCGAGAAGAGCCCTGATATCGCTTTGTCGATTCCAGGATCAAATACTTCCTCGGCGAAGGCGAAGCTCTGCCAAATTTTTCATCAACCGGATCCAGATCTAAGGCGGTCCACGGATAAACCCCGGCACCGGCGAAGAACCCACGCAAGCAAGAGCCGATAAACGGATCTTGCGTTTATTTTCAAGAAAGTTGTAATCTTTTTCTTTTGTTATTTGAATTCATTTGTAACGTTTAAAGTTTAATGAAATCAATGACTAAGGTGACTTTCGACGGAAACAAACTGGCGACCACAGTGGGAGCCGACA